GATTATTTCTTTGTAGATATTCACGCAACTGACCTGCAACTAGTTTCTCTAGAATTTTTGAGATGAAAGTTAGATTAGATATAGGTTTATAGTTGGCCAGAATTTCTGAATCAAGATCAGACTTTTTAAGTAAAGGTTTAATTACAGCAACCTTAAAGTGCTGTGGTACATAACCATCCATTAAAGACAAATTAAGTACATCCAAAATGTGGACATTAGTTAGGGGAAATACCTCTTTAAACAGTCTGGTTGGGATGGGATCTAGCAGGCATGTGGATGGTTTGGATGAAGTTATTATTTTTTGACAATTCAGAGAGCTCAACAGGACAAAAACTGTCCAAACATAAATCAGGCTCTAGTGAAATTTTTAAAGTTGCCTCATTTGAAAGGGGACTAGAGATAGTATAAGGAAAGATGGTTTGAATTTTCTCTCTAATTGAAATAATTTTATTTATAAAGAATCTCATGAAGTCATCACTACTTATAGTTGTAGGGATACATGGTTCAACAGAAATGGGACTTTTAATTAGTCTAGCAATAGTACTAAACAGAAACCTAGGGTTATTTTTATTCTCCTCTATTAAAGATGAGTAATATAAAGTTCTAGCTTTATGGAGAGCTTTTTTATATGTTAGCAGACTATCTTTCCAAGTTATATAAAATTCTTCAATATTAGTAGAGCGCCATTTTCTCTCCTGGTTTCTAGATGCTGCTTTAAAGAACGTAACTCAGAATTGAACCAAGGAGCCAGTTTCCTCTGATAGATTACTTTCTTTTTCAGTGGAGCAATTTTATCAAGTGAAGTTTGCATTGAAGTTGTAAGATGATCAACTAGATGATCTAAGTCTCTGTTCTCTGATGCATTACTCTGCAAGACAGAGGAAAACATTGATGGAAGAGATTGTTTCAATTTGGTTACAGCATTTTCTGATAAGCACCTGCTGAGATGAAATTTACTCTCAGTGACTGTGTAGTCATTTAATGTAAACTCAAAGGTTATTAAAAAATGTTCGGACAGAATAGGATTTTGAGGAACTATTACCTGTGATATCTCAGGAGTGACCCAATCGAACGAGACCCAGAACGACACGAGACTCAGAGTAAAAATAACAGTGTTTATTTATTTAC